CATGAAACTACCACTGTCTGGGGGTGGGGGCGAGGCAGCCTCCAGCAGCACAGGGCTTTGATAGAAATCCACAGAGTCGATGAGGCTAGATTTTTCTATCTGAGAGGATTAGGAGAAAAGGCACTTACAAACTCTCTTAATGATTTCCTTCTTTAGTCTCTCTCTCTCTCTCTCTCTCTCTCTCTCTCTCTCTCTCTCTCTCTCTCTCCCTCTCCCTCTTCCTCTCCCTCTCTCCCCTTCCCCATGTTTTTTTTTTTTCCACAGCTTTTATACCCAAACAGAATCTTCTGGGCAGTAAAAGAGTCAAAACAGTTGCATTTCATTTCTCAAGTGAATGAGTATAGATAAAACATCTTTTTCATCTTCCTCACATAGTTAAATATTTTATGTAATACAGGTGAAAAGCAAATTATCCCAAGAGCCCACATACATTCATACCTAAGTAACTTGTTATAGATTAATCACATAGGCAAGTGGGGCATTCTTGTCAGGTCTCTTACTGGCAGGCTGCATTGTGCAGTTACCAAGAAAAGGCCAATTACTTTATTACTTATCCTGAAAGGTAATCATAAGGAGTCTTAAAGGAATCACAAACTTAAACTTACACGTATGAAAAAGAATCAGTTCTACTTTAAATATTTAGGGTACATATCCATTCATTAATAGGGCAGAAAATGGTATAAGGAATTAATCATCGCCTTTGGTCATCAACCAAACCTAGCAAGCAGTGTACGTCAGCTAGTAATAATTAGGCTGCTTTGTTCTTGTTCCCTGACCTTAAAGAATTTCACATTTAACTATGCGCCTTTCTAAAACTCTGGATTGTCTTCTTGGGATTTTCACCTCGAAGTTATTTAACAATAACATCTTAGTCTAACTGTGGTTTTCAAAGCTTTGTTTCAGCTGTGATGCACTCCGAGTCCTGTGAACACATCTCCCAACATTAAGGTTAAAAGAATTTAAACTAGCTGGGCTACTGTTAATCCTTAACTTGAGCTACAATCCATGAAGCTCCTTAGCAGAAATTCACAGTCCCTGGCTGTGAAACATATCCTTGTATTTATTTTTATTCATCAACACTCTGTGTAAGCTATCATTATTATCAAATTAGACAGTACAGCTTAGGTAGGGGTCATCGTCTTGATAATTCACAAGTAAAAATGACCAGGAGAATGGGATGTTTCCAAGAGATGAACACACTCTATTACATCCACTCACACCATGCTAGATACCAGAGAAAGAGCTGCAGCGAACATGTGAAGATACAGCAGAAGCAAAAGACATTCCGGGGTCTGCAGTCCTGTGTTCTTGCCTAATGAGATTGGCTCATCAGGGGATTTCCTCCTGGTCTGCTAACACCCAGAACTTCCATTGCAACTCACCATTCCTCTGACATGGCCAATGGCATGAAACTTTTTTTTTTTTTTAGTTGTTTTCATAATTTTTTCATATAATAATTTTGATCATATTCCTTTTCCTCCCCCAATATCTCCTAGATTCTTCTCATCTCTCCATCTACCCAAAGTCATGTTCTTTCTCTTTCCCAAAAATGGAAATAAAAACCCAAACAACAATAAAAGAAAATCAAAACAAACTTAAAGCATTAAGACAAAATTCTAAAACAAGATCAAAAGCACACAAAAAACATGGAGTTTCTTTTGTATTGATCAGTTACTCCTGGGCATGGGGCCTTCCCTGGGGTGACAGTCCACTGCAGAAATCAGATTTTTCCTGGCCCAGCAGGTATGTCTTTATCAAACTCTCTCCTCAAGGCTTAGGCATCCATGCAGAAATGGAGGGAAAATGGTGGGTGACTCCAAAGGAAACGGTGGCATCCAGACACAGCAGGGTTGATATACATAAGAACTCACAGAGATTGTGACAATACGTACAAGGCCTGCACAGGTTCAAAATGCCAGCACTCAGAAGGGGGAATGGACACTCTTAGCCAAGAAGCTATTTGAAACTCTCTCTCTTCCATCTCTCTCTCTCTCTCTCTCTCTCTCTCTCTCTCTCTCTGTGTGTGTGTGTGTGTGTGTGTGTGTGTGTGTGTGTGTGATAAGGTAGTGGGACATGGCTGGAGAGAGATGGCTCAGAGGTTAAGAGCACTTGCTGCTCTTGCAGAGGACCTGGGTTTGATTCCCAGCACCCATATCAGGAGGCTCTCAGCCATCCTCCAGCTCCAGGAGATCTGATCCCCTTTCCTGGACTCCATGGGCGCCTGCGCTCATATGAACAAACATAGCCCACATAGACATATACACACTTGATCAAAATTTTTTTAAAAATTAAAGGAATAAAAAAGACAATCCTAAAATCTGTAGTAGCAAACAGGAGAGACCTTTGTAACTGCCCAGCCCAAGCTGAGGCCTAGCTGGATAGAACCCAGTCACCAGGGACCCTCCCAGGCACAGTCACACCTAGGCATTTCCGGGGCCCCAACAATACTGTGCCAATGTTTTACTTAATGTCTCCTTTGATCTCTGGAGCAGTCCTCCCAGAATGAACTGTTCCTAGTGCTGAGCTGAGTCCATGTCCCCCAGAGTTGCTCTCCACCCCACCCCACCCCACCCCACCTTGTGCTGTGCACTGGGAGACTCACATGTAGCCACAGACTCAGCAGGCCCCTCGTGCTCAGCCTTCTGGTTGGGTCTGTTCAGTAAGCCACTGGCAGGTGAACAGGAGGCAGGAGTGAGTAGCTGTGGGGGTGGGGATTATTGACTCTCCTGGGGAAAGGCATCATCTAATTCCTGTTAGTACATTGGTACTAACCCACCCCCACCCCAAGTGACTGCCCCATCCCTTAGGTACTGCAGTCGTTATTTTTCGTGTGGTTTTCCAAACCGCCACAGAGCCACCCAAGGAGGAAAAGGTTTGTATTGTCTCAGCTGGAGGTTGCAATCTGTTAAGGCAAAGAAGGCATCAGGGACCTGAGGGCTCTCGGTCACTTCCGCCAGGAAGCTCAGGGCCGGTTGCTCAGCTTACTCTGTGCCTTTTATTCAGCCCAGGACCTCGGTCTCTGAGGTGCTGCCCACTATTAGCCCAATCCAGACAGTCCCTCACAGTCATCCAGAGGCTGGTCTCCTATCTCCCGGTGGTTCTTCCTGTGCCCTGCCTAGTCTACAGTCAATGCGAGCCTGCCATCACAGGCACTGCAGTACTCCTGCTTTGTCTCAGTCACACTCATGATCTTGAAAGCAATCTCTGTAGGAACCTCTGCCCATCCCCACTCCCCCCACCCCTCAGCACCACCTCACTGTGAAGCCATGCTTACAGGCACGTACTACCCTAGAACTACCATAGTCACTTACTTTGTGTCACGCTTTTTCTGTTGGGACCTGGGCTGACACAGGTCCCATTGTGTTGATCAGACAGAGGTTCTTAAAGTTTAATCGAAGTGTAGAGGGTGAAAGTGTATTGTAAATGATGAGGCAGTGATTTAATTTGCAGGGGCGGGGGGGGGGGGTGGTGGTTCAGAGAATGATCGGCCTAGCCCCGTTAAACCGGGTTGACTCACCCACCCCTTAACGGCCACAGAGAGCAAAGGTGAGCCACAGCCGTTGTGTTTTCCAGATACCCTGACCTCTCTTTGCCTTTGTTGGCTATCAGCCCACTGGCTCCTGACTTTCTGGCTCTTGGCATTGGTTTTAATGGTTACTAAATGTTCTTGAGCATTAGTCTATGCTTGCACAAGACTCTGCTTCATTTTCAGGTCTGGCTTGGGACATGGGACATGAAACTGCAGGCCACGATGGCACTTGGAGCAGGGCTGTGAGCAGAGCTGTGATGCAGACTCCATGCTTCTGTCTCCCTTAGACTGGCACCTTGGGCTTAGGTTGTCCCAGCATCTTAGAGCTGGTGTGAAGTTTGTGGGAAAATAGACAGAGCTGAATGAACTGCTGGGTGAGGCGGGGAGGTGAGCTGTCTAGAGTAGTTATGTACTTACTCTACGATGAGTATACATGAGTGAGAGTATGAGTAGCAGGGATTGTGTGAACACAGGGTGGGGATGTGGGCTAGGTGACACAGAAGGGAATGTGATTTGTCTATCATGAGAGTGACTGTTATTGTGTGTGCTCAGATCAGTCTAACTTAGGAAGGCTGGAGGTGCCCTCTGGTGGCCACACCTAGAATCCCAACTTGTGTATTTCCCTGGTCCTCCCTAGGTTCCCTGACAGCAGCTTCAGCCTAGGTCACGTGCCTGAACCTGGCTTCATCCTCAAGTCCCAGGGCTCTTTTCTTTCCCAGGGGGGGTCCTCCTTTGATTTCAGGGAGCTGTGGGTGGAAGTTGGGAAGAATGGAACAAAGAACAAAATTGTATAAAACACAACTTTATTGCTCTAAAAGAAACTACTTGGATGTATTCCCATTCCATGCATGCCCCCAAGGTCCTGGCCACGGGGTGCAGCGGGCTGAGTACCCTGGGGGAGGAAGAAGAGTATTGCTGCCTGAAGGTAGAGGTTGGGGAAAGGCATCCAGAGGTCCCCCCAGGTGTTCCAAACAGCAGCTGACATGACAAGACCTGCCACCACTTTCCACATTTGTTCCTTGGCCTCCAGAACTTTCCACTTAGGAACCAGAGCAGCTTCTCACGGGGGAGTAAAAAACTCCCTCTGGCTGGCTGTCCCCAGTCCAAGGCCAGCGCCTCTCCCGTTCTTTTTTGCTGTTGCCATCTCTTCTGGAGAGCCCCCTTCCCCCATTTCTCTCTTCCACTGTGCATTTCTGAGAGGATACAGGCATGTCAGTCCCCTGGGGTAGGTAGCAGCCCGGCTTACCAGCTCAGCTAAGTAGACCCTTGCATGCATGTAGTTAATTTGCTAATCTAAATATCTTTCTGAAGCTGGGTTTGCTGTGTTACCTATAACAGGTAGCCAGCACAGAGCCCAGCACCCACAAATTTCTGCTTCAAACATAATTGGCTATCTTAGTGAATTCAAAGTGGGGGCCCCTAGCACCCCCAGGACCCCTCCACCTGCAGCAACTCCCTGCTTCACCCCTCTTCCAGCACACTGTTCAAATGGGGGTCAGGTTGGGTGCTGAAGCCTGTGGCTTGGCATCGCCTGAGTCTGCTTCCAGGTCCCCACTCTCCAGAAGCTTGTGGTGATAGTGGCAGGTAGAGGCTAGGCTGGAGGACTTTGGGGAGCTGCTGCTCTTTGTAGACTTGACCTTGCTCAGGCCTCGCATAATCCTGTGGAAGATGAGGTAGCAGATCTCACAGATGGTGAGAATAACGCAGACAGCGGAGGCCCCTACCATGAAGTAGGTAAAGACTTTCTTCTCCGTGGGTCGAGCGATGTAGCAATCCACAGTGTTGGGGCAGGGTACCACATTGGAACACTGTACCAGACGTGGCATGGTGAAGCCATGCCACAGCCTGTGTAAGACATACAGGAAGACCAACTCAATGATGAGCTTGAAGATGAGGCTGAGCAGGTAGGTCCACCACAGGCCACCATGCTTCTTGCCAGGATGGCTGTAGAGCTTGGCACACTGATCCCCATGCTTCAGGCGATGCTTGCGTTCTCGTTCCTCACGGTAGGCGACGTGCAGGATGACCAACATAGAGGGGCACGTGACGAAGATGAGCTGTAGGGCCCAGAGGCGGATGTTGGAGATAGGGAAGAAGTTGTCATAGCACACGTTGGTACAGCCAGGCTGCCTGGTGTTACAGTCAAAATCTTTTTGCTCATCACCCCACACACGCTCAGCCGCAACCACGTACACCAGCACCCGGAAGACGAACACTACTGACAGCCAGATGCGCCCAAATGCTGTGGAGTACTGGTTCACGCCGCTCAGTAGATCCTGGAGCTTCTTCCAGTCCATGGTGCCTGCTTGCGGCTCGGAGGGCTGTGCCCACCTGAGGGAACAATAGAAAAAATAGTTATGCTAATGATTCATTTGATCACTATTTATTAAATTAAAAAGTATTTTCTGTTTATGGATATGTGTGTCATTGTTTATGTATGTGCACATGGCACAGAGTCCAAAAGAGGGTGTGGGATCCTCTACAGCTGTCATTAATAGGCCTTTGTAAGTCACCACACTCTGTGGGTGCTGGGAACTGAACTTTGTTCCTTTGATACGATCTTTAAGATGCTCAGTCATCAATCCAGCCCTGCATTTTCTTTTATTTTTTAAAGAAAAAACCAAAACAAGCCAGGTACAGTGGCTGACACCTTTAACCCCAGCACTCAGGAGGCAGAGGCAGGTGGATTTCTGTGAATTGGAGGCCAGCCTGGTCTATGTAGTGAGTTTCAAGGCAGCCAGAACTGTAACATGAGACCTTGTCTTAAGAAACAAAGAAAATCAAAATTTCACTATGTAGCTCAGGCTCAACCATCCCCTCACCGCCCCTCCCTCTTTTTTTTTTAATGCAGAACAAGTTTCACAATGTAGCCTAGACTGGCCTGGAGCTAGTGACTCTGCCTGTTGTGTGCTGAGGTTAGAGGTGTGCACCTCCATACCCACACTCACTGTGCTCCTTGTTTGGGTGGACTTGGTCGGTCACCCCAAGGATCCTAAGAGGCGAGGACTCTTCCTAAGCTGTAGATAAGATGCTGAGGCTCATCTGGAATACGCAACCCACCCAACGTCAGAGCTAGAGCGCATTGCAGACAGTAACACTTTACTCTTTCTCTCTCTCTCTCTCTCTCTCTCTCTCACACACACACACACACACACACACACGTGTTCAATAAGTGTTGGTGACTCATTACTGCAGGCAGGGTGCAGGCAGGCCACGGATTTGCATGAAGAGGATCGGACTTAAGCCTGTGCCCTTCCATCCCTTCCTAGATGCCCACCTCAGCCCATTTTTCCCCGCTTTCCCTTTTTAGATAGCATCTCAGATTGGCTTTGAACTCTCTCAGTAGTCAAGGATAACTTTGAAATTCTAATCTTCCATCCACTATTTCCTGAGTGCTGGTTTTGCAGTATAGTACCACATCCATCTTTATGTTGCATTGAGGATTGAACCCTGGACCTTGGGCATGCTAGGCAAGTACTGAGCTACACCCTGAGCCCCAAGCCACAATTTTGAAAACTGCCTCCCCTCATTGATGGCTCAACAGCATCCTGTGAACTTGCATTGTGAACCTATTCTACAAACAGGAGACTGAAGCTGGAAGAGGAGAAAAGACCTGGTATCATTTTTCTTTGAATTTTATTTTAGGTGTATGGGCTTTGCCAGCACGCATTATCTATGCACCATATGGGTGCCTGGTGCTGACAGAGGCAGGGATAGGGCATCAGATCCCCTGGAACTGTAGTTGTGGACAGTTGTGAGCTGCCACATGGGTGCCGGGATTGAACCCAAGTGTTTTGGAAGAGCAGCTGGTGCTCTTAAATGTTTAGTTATCTTCTCATCTCCAACACCTGCTAATGTTCCACAGTCCATGGTAGTAAGGGCAGGGAGGTTTGCATCAGGTGGGAGATACATAGAGGTCTATTTCCTGGGATAGCACCCATTTCAGATGATATGTAGAAGACAGCAGGACCTGGGGATTCTAGCCACCCCTAGGTTTGCTGTTGGCCATGGCCTTGTAGGGCCGATGGGTCAGGCCGGCTCATCTTCCTCCCAGTTCTGGGTGACTCAGAGGGTGTAGACAGGTGGGTCTGCTGAGTGTACCTGGGATTAGCATGCTGATAGGAGTATGAGCGGTATTCACCTCTCCCTAAGCCCACGTGGACCTGGGTGCACAAGAGAGTGCTTTCGAGGCTGTTTGGGATGACTGCTGGACCACTGCTTTGGCCCAAGCAATCCATCCTTGTCCATATTCCTGCCACAGTCCTCTCATTGGCCCTTGAACTATTCTTTGCACATTGCAGCCCATTAAACCACAATTGATTACATTCCCTCCTTCTTAAAACTCTTCACTAGTTCTCTACAGCCCCGTCACACCAACACACACACACACACACACACACACACTCACTCACCTTGCCACTCTCTGCTCGGACTTTGCCGCTCTCTGCTCGGACTTTGCTGCTCTCTGCTCAGACCTTGCCTTGATTTCTCGTGCCTGGAATGCTCTTCCTCTAGAGCCTTAAGTGGCTGGACCCTACTCATTACTGAGGCATCTCTGCTCCAACATCCCCTTAGGGTCTCCTCTCAAATTACTTCAGGTCTGAACCTGCTCCAGTCAGTCTGCTCCAGGTGCCTTTGTTTGGCCACTGCCCTGTTGACTCAGTCCCAATTTGAAATTTAAGTCTCGGTCATTTTTGTTTGTTTGTTTTCGTTCTCATTTATCGTCTGTCCAATTAGCATGCCTACTTGACTCTGGCTGCTTCAAGTTTGGTATGGCTCAGCATACAGTAGGCACTCAATTCATGCTGAATGTGTGGCCAGATGAAAGCTGAATTTTCAGAGGAGTTGAGGGGGCTGGACAGGACTGCAGAGGAGCTAGATTGCATTACACTTCCTCAGCCTTCCAACAGGGCTTGTCTTTTGCAGTTCTGGACAAGATGGGGGTGAGTGGGAAGCCCTAGTCCATGAAGACCCTTACAGGTTTGCTCCTGACACTTTCTAAGCCCTGGCCTCTATGGAGGGCCGTGGATTAACACCTGGATTCTGACCTTGGCAGCACTGCCACTAGAATTCTACAAAGTCGTTAACCCTGTTCCTTATCTCCTATCTTGGGTTGCTGCAAGAGTCCCTCCCCTGCCTATTCTTCCTGGGAGTGGAGTGCTCAGGGAGAGTGAGGGGGGAGGAGAGGGGTTCCTTGTACTGGTACCCTCTAAGGCTGCTCTGGGGCTCCCCATTTCTTGGTGCAGGCTGCCTAGTCCCTCCTAAGACACACCCCAACACAGATTCATCTTCAAAGAATTTCCCGCCTAGCCCGCTCTGGGGACTGGTGGAGCCGGTTCTGGAACCCACTGTTGCCCCCCAACTCCAACTACCAGAACGACCTAGGTGCAGGACCTAGTCGCTCCATCTCTTGCTGTCTACCCCTCATTGTGTCTGACCCCAAAGGTAGAACTCCCCACTTGGGCCCCCGGACCCCTAGTTTCCTTCCATTCTAGGCAGCATGAGAACTTGCGGACCTGGGATGGGGTCTTCCTTCTAGGAGCCTTCCAGTGGCTGGAACCACCACAGGATCCAGAATGCTAATGTGTGTGTGTGTGTGCTGTTGTGGGTGTTGAGCAGACAGAGTTGGATTAAGGTGCCTCTCCACTGCCCTCCTGCAGCACTCCACCCTCAGACTTGCTGCGTGGGCAGGTTCCAGTCCAGCCCACCAGGGGCTCTCCACAGAGAGGGGCGCTCAGCCGCCCAGGATTCTTGCCGCCCCTTCCCGGTACTTACGTTCAGCTGTGCCGCCACCGTGGGTGGCTGGCCCCTCGTGCCCAGGATCCACAACAGAGGAGGAAGGAGATGGGAGCCAAGCCCAGCTCTGTGGCCTCAGTGAGGCTCCTGGCTAGCACAGCCAGAGGCGGCGTGGAGGAGGGGTGGCCGGGGGAGGAGCCTGGAGTCGCCTCAGGGGTACGAGTTCTAATCCTGAAGCAGCTGCGTGGACCCGGGAGCCCCAGGCTGCTTCGCAGAGCCTCGGCTTTCTTGAGGATGGAATGCAGGCATCGATGGCCACTGGAAGGGCTGTTGCAAAGGCTGCAATAACATTAGGGCGTGAAACACCTTGCAAACTGTTAAGTGCTGTGGCAGGAGGAATGGCAATAAATGACTCGCCCACAGGTGGTTACCACGGATATCCTGGCCTGCGCCCTGCTGGTCTAGATCACAGGTCTCAACCTTGCGTTGGGACACAGCGGGAGGGCGGGGCGGGCGGGGCGCGCACGGCGGGGGGGGGGTGGTGGTGCTCCTGCCCTGCTTGTGTCCTTGATGACAATCTCCAGGGACCCAGGTGTATCTTTGTGACAGTCCTGCGGGGCTCACACTCTGTGCTGGCAGCCGGAAGGTACACAACCCGGAAAAGAAGTTTCAGGGGAAAGGGTGGTGCTTAGAGCGATTTCAGAGTACCCAGATTGTCCAAGGGTATGTGGGGCAAGGGTGGGAGGCAGAGCTTGTGAAGGATGGAAGCCTGTGGTTGAGGGACTCTGAAACGGCTGGGAACCAGGAACACTTAGTCTTATTTGTGTGCCAAGACTGGGATCCTGAAAGCCCCTAAATGCCCCAGGAACAGAAATCCAGTGTTTCCCCTGGGATCCCCAGATCTTAGTCACAACCCTGCCCGAGGCTTCACTGTCTAGACAGAGATGATTGTTGCCCGACCCTGGTGACTATTCATCCCACTTGGTGCCACTTCTAATCTACAAAAGGTACCCATTGTTAGGAGGATCCGTTACCGTGTCCTCCCATTACCCAGCGGGATTCCCTCCCATGCTCCTGAGCTGCGCTCTTGGGCCAAGGCTGCTTCCCCTATGTGACACATATCATTTAACAGCATACAAATGAAATATCTCGGATCATTTCTGCACTTAAAGGAGAAAATGGGGTGGTGTGCTCAGGGCCACATGGAAGAAGGTACAGAACCAGCTCCAGGGACCCCAGTGAAGTGGCTTTGGATGAGGCTATCTTGTACTTGCTGTGGGCACAGCTCGTGGCTGGGCACGGCTGGGGCTTTCTGGATGACTCTGCTAATGTGCCTGTGTGGCAGTGGGGGACCCTGACGCTGCCACCTGGCGCTTATCACCTATTCCTCTCCTACAGTCAGAGGGAAACTCCTGTCCACATTTCTTCACCTCCTGCTCACCCTTCAACCCATCAGAATATTTCTGTCCCTGCTGTGTTACTAGAAAAGGTTTGTCAAGGTCACTCCGATCTTCATCTTCATCAGGCTAAATCTTACAGTCATAAATCCTTGACCCTCTGAAGCAGCTGCCACAGTGGAGTCAAAGCACCT